GTTCTAAGAAATTTGTTTATAAGCGGTTTTTTAATCCATCAGTTTCGTGAATTCTTTTCAGAATGAGACAGCCACCTCTGATCAAAACAATGGAGCAGTTAAAGAATGAAATGACACTCCTTGAGATGCTAGCCAATATTGAAATAAGTGTTCGGGCCATTCAGGAAAAGTCTGGCGACGAAAACCTCAATCCAATTGACAGACATTTCTTAAATATGAGATGCGATTTGAGCGTAATCGCCTCTGATGATCCGCAATACAAGGTTTCGTTCATTTCTGAAATTCTTAACAAAAAAATTTTAATCATATTACCCGGCGATCCAAGTTTCGACACCAAATTTTTTGAGCAATTCCTCATGTCTTCTAGACTGAGGTCTATTTAATAATAGCGCATATTGACCTGCACACTTTGATTTAAATTCAAAATTTTTCCGGCAGAATAATTAGCTGCCTCTGTTGTCCCATTATTCTATTATTGTTCAACCTCAGATGATAAACAAGTATCTACAAAACACTCACGCTCCCACTCACAGTCGTTATCGAATGAAAATAAAGCAAGCTTTCATCGTTGATCGTGCTGGAGAAAGAGACAAATTTTTAAAGGATTTGGGAAATAGGTAGATTTTTACTGTTAAAGTTTATGGTGCATTTATAAACACAAACTGCTGTGACCGGGAAAAAAAAGAATATCTTTTAAAATGGTTACTACGACAACAATTTGAAATTGCTTTAAGCACTGCTAACTAGGACTTCGTCTCCGGAAACAGCCTTTTTTGTAATAACGTTTTGTTGGGCTGTTGTAAAGATGTGCCTTATCCAATGAAAGATAAAGTTTTCAGAAAGCTGCTGTGGCACGGTTCTCGAATTACTAATTGGTATGGCATCCTTTCGCAGGGGTTGCGCGTTGCACCACCGGAAGCTCCATCGGTATTTTTCGAACAAGCTGCTCTTTTGTATTCATTTGTTTCTGACTCTTGCTTCATTTTAGTTTTCAAAACATAAAAACTGCTTCTTAAAGTGTTATGAAGGTGTTGGGAACTGTTTGCCGGCACAGTTTGGCCAGAGGGTTTGAATGGCTCTATTTTTCAGACAGGATTTATGTTTGGCAAAGGAATTTATTTTGCTGACATGTCGAGTAAGTCCGCAAACTACTGCTTCCCTCAGAAGGACAAGCCTGGGATAATGGTCCTTGCTGAAGTGGCGTTGGGCAACCCACGCACTTTGTTTAGAGGGGACTATGATGCTGACAAACTCGACGATGGAAAGAACAGTACAATAGGGTTAGGGAAGATTGGTCCAGACCCGGCAAAAGATGAAGCAACGTTGGTTTCCTCCTCACTACAAAACTTTGCTACTATAGCATCACCATCCCATAAGTATCCTAAAACCATCTCTCAGATGGAAAAAACATTCAACTTTTAGTTTAAAAAAACATTACTAATCTTTGTAGCAATGATGGTTGTGTGGTCCCCTGCGGCACTCCAATCCCTCTGAAAAAGAACGAAGAGAAAAATTGTGCGTTGAATTACAATGAATATGTTGTATACAACACCGACCAAGTAAGGATCCGATATGCTCTTGTTCTGGAATTCATATTTCAACAGTGACCGCTCATTCAGTTCAAGCATCGACTTCTCCACACCTCACGTCGTGCTTTGCACCCAGTTAAATTTGTACCGTTTACTCATTTTTTGCATGGCCCAGTTTTATTTTGAAGTTGTACATGCCACCTACTTGTTAATAATGACTTTAACCAGTAGATGTGGGAAGCTTAAGTGCCACCCACCAAAGATGGTCGATCTGCTCTGCGCTGCACCTGTTGTAAACGTCAGCAGTTCAGGTCTGGGTAGTGAGACAATCATTAAGAACTCCGCAGTTCATTCAGTCCTGTCTTCAGCAGTGCCACCTTGCTGCCGGGATCCTTCATAAACAAGTTGCACTGGCGGGCTAAACTAGTTGCAGAATCCGTGTTGTTCCTTGACTATTGGCAGCAAGGATGATTTTCGAATTCTTAAATTCCATTTTTAAGCTAACGAAGGAAAATTACAACTTAGTAGAAATGATTTACCTTTTTCCAGCATACAGCTGAAACAAAGTCTGGAGCTCCCTCAGTTTCAGGAAGCGGTGACTGCGAGGGATCTGCACACCCAAAATCATACTCGATTAAGGGGTCACTGAGACCCTTATAATACAAGTAAAGCTGATTATTCTCCGAGCCTAGAAAAAATGAAAGCGGGTCCTTGATGACTGTAGAGCGATGAGGAAATCTAAACGCAAGACAAAATTCGCTTTTCCTCGAAAAGAGTTGCAAAGTTACCACATATTATATGGTTCCCGTCAGTTGCCAGTCCAACAAAATTCTTTTCATTCGAGTGACCTCTAAGTACGCGTATGCAATTCCCAGTATTAACATCCCACACGCGAAGATGGCTGTCAGTGGCTCTATAAGCAAAAGTTTTAAAATAGAAGTACGAGAAGACAGAAGTAAGCCAAAACATACGCGGAAACCACTTCGCTTGGGGTACAGTACTTAACGTATGATATTGGTTTGCGGTGACCTTGAAACACGTTCACAGCTTTCGAAGTATTTCTCAAATCATAAAGGTGAACACACCGGTCTAAAAAGTTTCCATTAGAAAATGACGTTTAACGAGAAGTCAAAACGAAATCCCACCAGCCCCTCCGAAAACCAAATGGTGCCTCGAGATAGGGCTGAAGTAAACGCAGCAAACGTTCACGTTAGCGTCTATAGTTGCCACCGATCTTTCGCAGGATAAAGACCATAACTTGACCTGCAAAATCTAGAAGATGACCAGGAGAAACTAAGTTCGAATTCGGATCTGGCTTTAATTAACGCAGTCTTTCATAGTTCTCAAAGTTTGCTAAAAGCCGAAGGCGGAGGGCCATATTACTTTTTGAATAAAAAGTGAACTTGCAGATGCTGCCTAGAATGCTGAGCATGGTAGCATTGTAGTAAAGGAACTTTACAATCCCCCGGCAAAAACTTGTTAGGAAATTACAAAGTTCAATAAACTAACATATGACGGAGATTATTTAGAAAGACTACCTTAGCATCATCAGACCCAGATGCCATTAAATGAGGATCTATATTATTGAACTGCACAGTCCAGCAACGTTTTTCATGTTCCTAAAATTGAGAAGCTGAACAATATCAACAGTAACATTTTTTCCCTGTTTTTTTCTAAATATTTAGGGAGTAGAGATAAAAGGAAGTTAACTGTGCCCCATTTCTTTCCAGAAAGCAAAAACCATATACAACATGAAAAAACTGGAGGAAGGGACGTGAAGAGTAACAGTAAAACTTAGTCTCTGACTGAATATTCTGACCTCATATTTTCTAACTGCCCTGCTGAAGTATGTGTCCCACACTTGAACTGTTCCGTCATAATCACTACTTGCCAACATAGTCTTGGTGTAAGGATTCCACGAAACATTGCTGAAAACCTTGTGAGCACTGTCAAATAAAACTTTTGGTGATGGCCTGTAACCGGAATGCATTCTTTCACGCAACTGGTTACAAGAACCACTGTATTTAAAGCACATCTCTGGACAAGAAAGAAGACTTACTTGTTTAAATGCTGTTAACAATGAAAGCGTGGCTCCACCAGTAACACAATTGAATAAATACAGTTCTTTACCTTATTTTTGCTGTGCATTTAAGCTCAGTGATAGGGTAATGACAAGTGTTTGGATTATCGACTACCGCACGAAATTCGTAGATTTTGACTTTACATGTGACGCCAGCGACTGCAAAGTACTCACCATCTTTGTCGAACTCAATGCTAAAAAAAGTAAATAGTTTAATACAGCAATACACTTTCTATTTAAGGACACGCTCATGAAACCTGTTACAAAAAACTAATTGATGGTGCCAACCTGGACACAATGGAATAATTTGATGAGACTTCAGACATGTAGGAATGCAAAGAAGCAATAGTTCGAAAACTGCCGTACTGTGACATGCCTTGCAAAATTTGAGAGAACTCCTTTAAACTATCGACACAAGGACCAATGGCTTCCTTGTCGTTAACCATATCTAAATTTGTAAGGTATTTTATGGTCTGACACAATCGCCCATCAATTTAGTTCGATAAGGAAAAAAAGACTGGCCAGGTCAGTATCTAAAGAAGACGTACGCTGCTTACAACTTCTCCTCTTACTAAAGTAATGTTGTTCCAACTCAGCTGCATGGCTTTTTAGACGAGAACGACATTGAGTGAGTTCGTCGTGCAAAAATGATGACACATCTAAATTTATACCAGAGGAATTTGCTGTTCCCCCTGATGAACTTGAACTGCGAAACTCATCAACCCCTGAGAAATCACCACACTGTGCCTGAAAGAGAAACCAAAAAATAAAAAATTCCTTAATGAGAACGAAAATGCAAAGGTAATGGAACGAAGTACCTGCGCTGCCAATCTATCCTGTCTCAAGGTATCCAGCTCCTGTTTTGTTTTTTTAAGAATTGCTTCTCTGCGTGCTATCATATCGATAATAAAAAGCAAAAGCAATCTGTTCTCTTTTCCAGAATTCCCCGCTTCTTTTTGTTGGCGTATATTGTTTAACGCTTCCATCACTCGGTCTATAGCAGCGACATCAAGCTTCATCGTAATTTTGATCAGTTCACTGCAGATATCCTCAGGCACATTGTCGATGTCCTGAAAAATAATGCTTTTGTTTGACACATTTTTTAAGGCGGCTTTCTAGAAATAACTAACAAATTTCGTATACTTTCCTATTACAGGACTACTATTTGAGGCGCCGCAAACAAAATTAGGGGCGGCGGCTACAATGCCTTCCAGTTACAAACTTCAAGACACTGACAAATATAGCCGTTATTTGCAGGCAAAGGACTGAAAGGTTTTCCTAAATTCTGAAAGGCACAACGGAAACAGTGATTATTTCACCAACTGGCCTCTCTTTTATCATATTTGTTAAACAAAATACTACAGCTTTTTGAACAGTGCCTTCCTTTATTTCCTTTATTCTCCGATTTAACCTTTCTCCATAACATCTAAACACTAGGCTTGCAAATGCCATATCCAAGTCTATGAGCTGTGTTTGCGGTTCACTATCTAATAACTCAGTTCTGCGTCCTCCTACTGTACCGTATTTTAACCTTCACAACAAACCACAATTACTGTCCTTTCTTAATCCACATTCCCAAAAGCATTTCATCAAGAAAGCATCGAGCCAGCTTTAATTTTTATCACTAGATCAGCTGGTTCCCATTCTTTGATACACGCCATCCAAAATAAAAATCTGTGAAACACACTTCCAGTACTGATTTTTTTTTTCGAAACAATTTTTCAACTTAAAAAATTCATTCTATTTACCCATTTAACTTATGAAACCGTTTCTGTGACTTTGTAAATTGAAATTATAGTTAAACTCAATAATAAGGAGGTTTGCCCACACTCCTCTTGAAAATGTGCTTCGTAATACCGTACTGTTGTTTAAGTAGCCAAATAAATGTCTTCAATAATTAATCAAAGGCAATTGTGCAAAAAAACAAAAAAACTTAAAAGTGTTTCAAAACTAGATGTCCCACCTTAACCTGCTTTTTAATTGTCTCTGACAAATGCAACATCTACAAATACACTTTCGAATATACTATTCTGAATTCAATATTACTAAGTCCTTTATTGCAATAAGCTTTCTTTACAACTTTATTTGCAAAATTTTGTTATTTCTGACTCACCTGCTAGTTATTCGCTACCTTTATTCCTTGGTGAAAGACTACCTAAGGAATCCAAGAGAAACTCGGTTGAAGTCGCCATAAGCACTTATTGATTGCCCAGCTCATTTCACTCACCTCACAGTTATGCCCCCTCCCGTGGTAAGGCGTCAACGAGAAGCACTGACCTTGCCAATAAATTATTCTGCTCTCTTTAGCGTTTAAAAAGCAATCAAATACTTATCAAATACTAACCTTAACATTGCTGAGTATCTGAGATATCTTAGCCTTATTGCGTACTTCATCCACTATGGCTCCTAATGCGAAATTCGGTATAATTGGGGATTTTGAATCCAGCTCCCAATTACATACTGGACAGTTGGAAGAACCCATTAAATGTATTCCAATGCACTCACGACTAAATAATAGGTATGATGTACGATGCAGTAGCGCTAAGGAAAAAGTGGACGCATCAAACATAAAAATGATTTGGATTCGTTATACCAGTTGCCGTTTTGACCAGAACATTAACTAAAAAACTAATTTCAAAACTAAAATAATGGGTCTTATGGTACTCTAATTAGTTAAAAATTATAAAGGCTGGCGACAAGTAGGGCAGACAAACTCGTAAGGACTAACACAACAATTATTACTAATAAAGAAAAAGTTTTAAAAAAATCAAGCAAGGTATTTCTGAAAAAGGTAAACACATAATGGGCATCAGAAGTGGCAGGAAAAAAGAGCAAAATTTACGCAGAGAACAATTTTTAAAAATAAATTCGTTTAAAAAATTACCAGAAGGAATGCCCACAAAGAGCGGAGTACGGTTCACGAAATAACTGGAAGCACAACGGGCTGAAAGAGAGTTAGCAAAAGATGATTCAACTAAAAAATGCAGTTACAGTGATTAACTTGGAAATATTCAGAAGCCATTTCCACAAACCAACTTGATTTAAAAGTTTGTAATTAAAATTACCGAACTGATGTTATAGTTTTAAAAAAGTGCACTACTGAGAATTCCTCACCTAAAGTCAAATTTAATCATCAAAAGCAATTTTTGTATAAATCTTTGGAACCATTTACCAGTTATACGCTTTGTCACAACCATTTCTGCTTGAATTTGTTCCAGCTACTGAGGTAGAAGGACAGTTGTCGTCCGTAGCAAAAACTGGTTCACCAGATGCTACCTTAAACTTCGGGCAGTCATCACTACCCATCGTCTGAGCAAAGGAGCGCTTACGAGGACCACCGCCAAAAGAAGACATATCCTGTCTTTGTAGCCGATAGTAACAGTAAATACTACTAAAAGCAAATGCGACTTAATGAACAACTCCACAGATGAATGTAAATATTCTGAAATTATGCTTACAGTCACCAAAATCAACATCGGATGGCTTTAAAAAATAATAACCGTAATAAATAATATACATATAAATAAATAAATAAATAAATA